ATATATATATATATACATATATCACTGTTTTCGTCTTCATCTTCATCTGTATCCGGATCTTAATGGCATCATCACTATGCTTCACCACACTTAGAACCCGGCTGCGTCTTGCGGCTGCCAGGTCGCGCAGATCAATGCCTTGCCGAAGCGCCTTCGCAGATTCGAACTAGAGATACTTCCTCTGAAGGACGCCGACGAAGCATGAAGAGTAACGATTGCTCACTGTCGTCATGTGTGTCGCATCGTTGAGGACATAGCCAACTTTGTTTTCGGCCTGTCGCAGCTGGACTTCAGGCCTTGTCAACGGACAGAGAGCGAGAGAGAGAGGCCCTCTGCGGTAACACACCGCGAGACGGAGTCCAGGGCATGCAGCAGACTGAAAGATGAGGCCGAGGGTCACTTAGTATTAAGAGGGGGTTTGGAGATGCCAACCCGCGGCCTCAGCTCGTAGTGTCAACACAGACAGACCGCAAGAACCAGTGCGCGTGCGCGCGCGAGGGGGGTCAGGGACCTGCCTTCCTTTGGCTGTGCAGAAGAAGAGGCCCTCTGAACTTCTGAGTGCAGTCTGAGCTAAACAAGTTATCGCATACTTTATGGCTGCAGCGACTGCAGCTGATACGCTTGCAATCTACTTTGAGGTTTCACTCCCCACAAAAAGTTCGGCAACGGGTGGGCCACCTGACACATTCCCGTCATGCTGACCACAGGAAGTAGGTTGATCACCTCTCATTTTGCTGAGTGGAAGAAGAGACTTCGAACAGCGTTTACTGCGGACCAAGCTTCATCCACATGCAAGGAGCACTGCTCTGAAAGTGGTACACCTGGGGCTGCTTTTTCACATAGTGGGGGAGTCTTTGTTTTCACATGCCCTGCTGGGACCAGTTCTCCAAGCTTGGAGAAGAAACATCCTTCTGACTGGGAATGCCTCGGTTGAACCATAGGCGAGGAGCGAACACCCCTTTGTACCACAGATGCAGGGATATGGATGTGCTGGGCATGATCGCAAAGACGGCCGCTGGGAGGGTGGCCAAGTCAAAGCGTAAGGAAGCGCACCAGGACTTGCCAATGACCCTTGTCCTGCAAGCTCGCTTTGCATGTCAGCGAAGCCGAAGCGGAGTCAATTGCTTCACCTAGGATCGTGATGTCGCTGACGCGCTTGGGCTATAAGGCCCCCTTGCCTGCGGCAAGAGTGCTAGTGTCAGCAGCCCCTTGGAAGCGCATCTTCGGCCAGCAGCCACGCATCGACGAGAGGACGTGCAGATGAACCTGCTCCTTGACGCTGTTGCAGATCGGCTACAGCACCGTGGAAGAACACGAGCACGACCTAGGCTAACAAGACGAGATGCGCGTCTTCCTAAGTGCACTCCAAGGAAGACTCGCATGTTGAAGAAGATGCCCGACTGGAGCCTGGCAGCGCTCTTCTGGGCCTGGCCACAGGACGGCTCGCTGGAGGGGGTCGCTTGTCTGAAGCGCACTTCAGGCTTCTCTGGTTGCCTGCCAAAAGTTTTTTTTTCCCTCCTTGCGAGGTTTCTGAACAGACTGTTCCTGGTATTCTTGCCTTCTTGCGCCGATCTTTGTGATTGCAATGGATTCTGGCCAAGGTCAGGAACATGCAGGAGCTTCTAGCGCCAGAGGCAATTCCTGGCGGCCGACAGTTTGAACGGAGCAAGAGAAGTAGCTGAGGGTGTTATACAGTCGTAAAGGGGTAAAGCAGTGCTTCTGCCGATCTTGGTGGTGTTGACAAAAGCAGAGGGCAGACTTGCGGGTTCGGGGGATGTTTGGGTGGCTGGGGTAATCGTGCAGCAAGCCTCGGTGCGAAGTTGTCTGGCACCTTCGTGAAGCTTGGATCCAAGATGCAGGTGCAGCAAAGGATGCAGAAGAACAAGTTTACGAGTCGAATGTTGGAGAGGACCGCCCTAATTGGTGACCACTGAGCTCTTGCATCTTGTACCGGCCCGGAGGAGTTGGATGGGTCCTGCTGAGTGGAGGAGAAAACCAGCCAAAGCGTAGAACGGGACAAAAAAGTGCGCTCTCACAGACTGCGGTACGTCCGGCCTCGCTTGAGTAGACTGGGACTGGGCATTGAAGGGTTGGGACCCAACTTCTGATCTGATCTCCGTGACTTGGGACCTGGTAGTGCGGTGGGCGTCCATTCGCCTTGCGGTGCCCCGAGGAGGTTTGGCTCCGTCCCCAGCTGCTTGCAGCCGTAGCCCGTGTAGGGTGGGTTGTCGGCATCCCAGGTGGAATGACGACGCAGACGGAGGAGCAAAAGCAGCAGAGTCGGTCACGGGCTCAGTCGGACTGCAGTTGGCTTCGTGGCTCGAGATGTTTCCTTCGTATGCCATGTGCAGATGGGATTACCCGATCAACGACGCGACGAAAGGAGAGGTCCGAGCAAGGCCGGGATTGAAATGGCAGGACCTATGGGAGAGAAGTTTTCACCCTTTCATTTGAGGTACACTCCGCCTCCGGGAGTGCGAGCCTAAGAGAGACCTTCCTGATAAGAGCCCTGCCTTCCCCAATTGAGCACCAGGAAGTTGGACAACTCACACTCAATGTGGGCGACATTGTGTGGGTGGCAGCCTTGGGCGGTCGGCTGGTATTTGGCTTTCCGCGACCCGTTGTGTCTCAGGTCCTTGAAGAGGAGGACGGCTGGTGCGGTGGTCACAAGGAGGGTGACGGTTGCCAGCTGATGTGAGAAGCTGGAATGCAGACTGCGACAGGATGGTGACGACAATACTGGCTGGTTCCCAGCGTCGATTATCAACCGGATTCCTCGAGGCACGGAAAGAGAGGGGAGAGCCTGAAGTGTTGGCACCTTCCCACAGAGTGCACGGCTGCGACTGCGAGGCGACTGCCAAGAGGATGACGAAGATGACAGGACGGTGCAGACTACCCCGGGCGAAATCTGATCATTGCTTCCTTGAAGTCATGCATTTTTGCCAGGAGAAACTCGCGGCCCCGACGCGATTGTTGGCATTCCTGCACCAGCACGAAGCCTCTGTGAAGCTATACGTAGCTACGGCTGAATGTGCCAGGGCCTTGTACACCAGTGACCACCGAGCAGTTGCTTCTCCACAGGCCATGCCTTGGAAATGCTCAACTGCCCGTGGGGGTTACTGCGCGTGGCTTGTGTGAAGGCAAAGCACCGAAAGGTTTCGGCAGCCGACCCGGCAAACAGACTTCTTGCTCGCTGCCTTTTCGACGCTCGGCGTGCTCTTTAGGCTCAGCTTGAGCTGGCGGAGACCAAGCAGCGCCTGGAAGCGGCCACACCGGCAGGTTTGACAGTCATTCCCAGGTCCCATCACGGAGCAGGCGAAAAGCAAACCGTCGCGCCACACTAAAATACGCATTGGTAATTCAGGGCAGAATGGTTTGAATGTGTCCCATACGCCCGGGACAGGGCAGGCGCAATCCCTTGCGAACAGAGCAACAGGCTGTTTGCTTATCAGTAAGTGTGGCGGCCGCCCAAGATGTATGTCAATGACAACGTGTGAATTCAGAGAGGTTCGACCGTATTGTTGTTGAAAGAAGATAGCGTGACTTTTTGGAAAGGGCTAAGCTGTCTTGACGTTTGCTGCGGCTTGCTAAGACTCTTCCAGTTGTGCATTATCATAGATGATGAATTGACGTCCGTGATACGTTCTCGTCCTCAAGCAAGGTTGCTGGTTGGTGAGTTCACGTCATCGCAACCATGTTGCGAGGCCGTGACGCCATGTAGATTTCCGAGGTACCATGGCCCGATGTGCACCGGGCATGCATTGTATCTGCCTCATTCTCTTTATTCCCATCCTGTCTATCCGCGCCATATTGAGAAGCTCTGTTTGGAGCAGTCCTGTGGGCTTGGCTGCCGCTTCGTTGAGGGCCCAGCCTCTACCTCGCAGGGCAAGCCGCAAGCCGTCAGAAGAGGTGCATCATACCCGCTTTCCAGCTGCTTTGTTGGAGGCCGGCCGATCCATGGCACAGAACGCGCTCCGCCTCAGACAGGGTGAGAAGCACTCGCATGTGTACATCATCAGAAGTTTTGGTCGTGCGAAAACTTTCCGGGAAATGACGTGTGGTATCTTAGAGAAGCTGCTGCCCTGTCTTGGTGTGTGTTTGCTGGCCGTGGCAGTGGACGATCCAGAGCTGGAGATTTACCGACAGAATGCAGGACCCTGGAAAGACCGAATGCTTGTTGGTGTTCGTGGAGCCGAGCGGCAAGTTGCCTTCATCGACCAGATAATGCCGAAGGGCCCAAGCTTCAGCTCTACTCTGTCAGCATGGCTTGTAACCGTATGCGTTCTCCTTGCACAGAGAAGCTTGTGGTCCGATCCTTAGGTGCTCCGGTCATGGTGCTGGACGACAACATTCTCAAATTCATGGACCGTGGTGAGACACTGACGAAGGGTCTGGACGATCTCGTGGGCCTGGGCTTCGACTGCATGCAGCGCGTGGGCGCATCTGTTTGGTCTGTACCTGCCTCAGCGCCCTCGGTGGACCGGTAGCTAGAATCCAGCTATGAAGGAGAAAGTTCGTTCAGCTTGAAAAAGTAGCAAAACCCCCCTCCTTTTTCCAGCACCGTCAGAAAGAGTTTCAACACCAAAACAAAGCCCAGGCTCCGTTTTTCGTGTTTACGTGACGGCTGAGCGATGTGAAGTCAAGGTCAGCGACTCACCAAATCCTGCGCACTGGAGTGACGAGGTAGATGTGGGCATTGGGCTCGTGCCAGAGCCTCGCTCGGAGCGAGAGTGAGGTTGTGTTGCTTCTACTTCGGGGAACTCCTGAAATGTGGCCAAGCCCAGCCCCCCGAGGTATGGAGCTGCCTTTGGAATGCTGGCAAGCCATGAGGACTCTCGGTACTCGCGGTTTGGTCAGGTGCTGGACGATGTGGAGAGGTCCTGCCGCTTCTATGAGCAAGATGGCATGACCGTTCGCTTGGGCAGGCTGCAGGTGTACAAGAGGCGCGGGCTCGACCATAAAGATTCCTAAGGCGAACAGCCGTGGGAATGGTGGAGGTTCCCGATTCCAGGCAGTTTACACGGACCGCATGAGCTGTCAGGCATGCGCCGGGCATCTTCCATGCAGACAAAGGCGGCATCTCCGCCAGTCTCTCGGCAAAGGCTTTCGCAGAGGAGGCAGACCGGGCCAAGTCTGCTTTACTTCGTCGCTTTCCACAACTGCTGCCCGGAATGAAATGACACAGAAGGCATGCCATCTTCTTTCGGAGAAGGAGTGAGACTTCGTGGTTGTCTTCTCGTCTCTGTGGAGCCCAGGCTCGAGGCCACAAGCAGCAAGCTCGGCCTGCGATTTCGGCACGGAAACCGGAGCAGGGCTCCCTCCTTCATCCTGTGATCCCCCAATAAACCTCGAAGCGTTGCAAACGGCTCGCCTGCTCCCTTCTGCTGAGCGCAGATCTGGCCATGACTTGGCGCCGCGAGCCTCAGGCAGCACTCGGAACCTGTCAGGCGCCCGATATCGCCCGATGGAGAAGATCAGCGCGGTGTCAGCAAGACCTGCTTGTGGACATCGCCCAAGCTTGCGCCAACGCGCAACAGAACTAACATCAGCTGGCCGGTAGGTCGCTTTGGCACGATGTCAAGACAAAAGAAGCCGTGTGTCTGCATCTGCAGCTTTTTTTGTTCCAACTGTCATGCCATGACAGCCAGGCTGAATCCGAGCGTCGACGTTTGGAGGATGTGGTCAAGGCCATGGGCTTCTCTTGTAGCTGCTACTCGTAGCACTGCTAGCCGATCCAGATGCTGAGGGATCGCATCATCCGTGCCAGGGACTGCAGAAAGAGAAAAATGACTGGGAGCACGAACGGCGGAGTATGATCAAGAGATACGAGGAGCTCCAACATTCCAAGGCTCCAAGATTCTTGTGCTTTGACAAGCGCTGCTACATGCTTGGTGTGACCTGCCATCCTCACCGGCAGGTCCAGTCGGCCCAGGAGGAGGCCAGGCGGAAGGAGGAAAGTTTCGACTCCATGAAGGGTTTAATGATGCGTCGCAGATATCCACGTGGCCATCAGTGCATGTCTGCTTCAATGGAGGAGGAGCTTCGGTCACAGAAAGAGCTCAACAAGATCTTGGAGGCCTCTGCGCAAGTGTTTTGATTCGGTGACCTCCGACCGAATAGCGAGAGACGTCTGCAGCTGATTCCAAGTCCAAACTAACTGAGTGATCCTGACCCTGCGGCCAAACTTTAACACATACAGCAAGCCGCCGCTGTCAACCACCGCAGCAAAGCAACCGCACGCAGTTTTGTGTCGTTCACACTCGCACTTCCAGGCTTCTGTTCTGAGAGCACGGCAGGCAGATCTCCGGTCGGAGAAAGGAAGCGCCAACAGCCTAAAGGCAGGGACAAAAGCGGGGTTCGCCAACGCGCCGTTTGTGTGGCGAGTGCTACGCCGCTACGCGATGGGTTCTGCCGCTGAGGGCAAGCTGAAGGAGCTCGAGGAGAGCTCTTAGCTGTCTTAGCTTGTAATTTAGTTGGGGCCGGGCCTGGGGGCCTTCAGTTCCAGTGGCTTTCAGGAGCACTGCAGAAAGCTTAAAGTGGAGGCATCAGAGTGTCTTCCGGTGCTGGAGCGGAGCTGTTTTCGAGCAGTGGCAGGTCGATCATCTTAAGACTCGGCAAACAGTGCACATCTCGGCTGAGAGAAGCGCGGTGGGCGTTGAGGTCTGTACCCGCATGCACGCCTCTTGAGGACGCTGCGAGCAGGGAGGACCCCATCGGCGGTAGCACCACAGGTGCAGAGCCCAAATGTCTCGTGACGTTGAGTTTGGTTGAGAAACCCTCCGAGACGCTCGGGACCCGGCCCATGCTCAATCGCAGGCATCTCCCGCACATATGCTGGAGACAGTGGACACCGTACGCCCTCTGTTCCTCACACCGTCTCCGCCCTAGGTCGGCGTAGCAGCGTTGCTTTGGCAAACACTTGCTTGCTCCTTCCCTTGTGTCTGCCATGATCCACAGAGCTGCGGCGACCCTACCCTGAGGTTTCAGGTGTGCTCTCAGGGAGCCTGCAGGCCCCAGTCCCTGATTGCTGTGCAACCACGTGCACGGCGTTGGTGCACCCGGCACCTCAAGACTGGAGTATTGCAAGGCACCGCCCGCCCCTTGCGCCAGCATTGCGCCAACCTCTTCCATGACATCGGTTGGACTTGGCCAGGCTGCGCTTTGGCTTTTACTCGCTTTTGCCATGCGCGGTCACCCCGGGAGGTCTCCGCCTCTCCGTTGTCGGCCAGGCCCAGGGCCGCCATGGGCCGCCGCTTGGCCTCTTGTGCAGAGCGACGGCGCGCTGCAGGCAGCCGGCCGGGGCCGGGCTGGGAGCGAGACACGCGTGACCAGCTTAGTAGAGATCAGGGCGAGGTGAGACAAGCGTTGGAGCAGTTTGACTCAATTTTTTGCTGTTGTGATGCCTCTGAGTTCTCCCCGTCACGCCTCCTGGATGTCAGTCGCTTAGCCTGTCTGCGTCTCCGTTGTAACCTTGGATGAAATTATACCGCATGCATCTGAAGGCCTCCGACAGGGCCAACCGTGCACGCTCCGTCATCGTCCGGAGCCCAGCCAAGACGGAGAGTCGACATCCCACATGGAATTCCAGCCATTTCCAGCCCTGCGGCTCGGAAGGCCTCACCTTCGGCAGCGCATCCCGAGTCAGCGCGATGTGACATTGGACTCGGTTTCACATGCGCCTTGGCAATTTCAGATTCAGAGTTGGCTTCCCTCAGAGACAATCGAACTGGACCTGAGTCGACAGAGTCCCAGGTTGCGCCGGTTCGCAAGCTGGTCTCTGAGATCGAGAAGAGGAGCAACAGCCAGGGTGCTCCCACCACCAGGCGAGCTCAAATCAGGGACAAGAGCCGCTGCCAAGCCGTGACCTTGGTCCCAGGGAAGCGACGCCCATCAATCGGCAGCTGGTTTTCCCGGCTGCGGCCAGGCGCTCAGTAGCGCATATCGGCTGAGCCAAAGCATCCAACATCTGGAAAGATCCTATGGAACCTTGAATGCTGCACGAGTTCGAGTCGCAAGTCGGCCCATGTTCCGAAGGACGAAGGGATACTTGTCAAGACGTGCGCAGACATTTCTGAGACCGAATCTACAGCTGTAGCTCCCCGAGACGGTCGTTGGCTGTGGTCGTCCTTGCTCCTTTCTCGCCGAGGCACCAAGTGTTTCCTCACTTTGTACAGTTCGACGGCCCATGGCCTCAGTCCCTGCTGCCTCCTCAGCTCCTCAGCTCCTCAGTCACAATTTTCAACTCCGACTTAGCTGACGCGACCATTGCAACTGAGATTCTAACGACCGGACATGTCTCCATGACATCAGCGGTTCGAGCCGGTTCACGCGAGGGTCAACCCGTCCACGTCCCGGCGCCTCGCTCCTTCACTCTGCTCTCGCTTGCCCGAAATGTGCCGAGGTGGCTCGGACCATGCGAACGGTCACGCAGAGCTCCTCGCGCTCGGCCTTCCAGGCGAAATCTTTGTGCTTTAAAGTCACATCTTATTCGTTTTCTTGCAGACACGCCGTACTGGTAGCTGTGAAGAGGTGGAACCGGAGCCCGAGTCCTGCCGCCATGTTTGTCCCTGTTCTCCGATTCAAGCCGGCTGGAGCCTTGCCGCAACGTGCAGGACACCAAACGCATCTCCGAATGTGACGCACATGGAGGCAGAGCTGCAGTACGTTCTTTGGAGTCAGACGGGATGGGCCCGGCGTGAGTTGCCGGCAGGACCCATCTCGAAACTTTGGCATGTCTCCGATCAAGCGCCCGGCGCCTGCAATCTCCTGCAACCGGCACTGCCGAAGCGTGGTCCAGAAGCTTTCCAAGGTCAACCTTACACAATCACTCGTGGAGGACTGGCAGGTTTCGTTTTAACTGTACCGGGGGTTTGCCTTTGGGCGACTGCAGATTGGACGGCCTTCACCCACAGGAGTGACAGGGCACCCGATGACGTACTCACCTCCGTCGCGGCCAATCTCTGTACAGGACGTCCCCTAAGCGATCTGCTTACAGAGAGTTTGACGTCAGCCTCTCAGCTCGAGGACAGGATCCGACAATTGAATGCAAGCCGTTATCGTTGAGCGCGCGGCTCAGCCAGAAGAGTCCAGGGCCAGAGCCTTCCAGGGCCAGCAGGGCTCCAAGGAAGGGCCCTTATAGCCTTATGGGTTTCCTCCAGGCGAAGAGCTCCACGAGCCCTTCCTTATCAACGCTGAACTTTAGAGCCTATGGGCAAGGCCAAAGGCTGTCTGAGGCCCGCCATGCCCGCTACTGCTTCGCAGACTGCTTCGCAGTTTCGCTCAAATGAGATCAACTACGTAATTCAGAGCAGTTATTCTAGTTTTTTCTGTGCCCTGACTGCTGAGCCCAAACCTGCCATTGGACTGTTCAGTCGTTGACCTGTGTTAGAGCTTAGACGCTCGGCAGACATGGCCTAATTCAGAAGCATTCAAAAGCACTCTGCCGGATCGGATGGCCAGCCCGGTCCCGGTCTGCTGGCAAAGGCTATCGAATGGCCCCCCACAAAAAACAAGAACAGCAGGTGAAGCCAAATGATCAGCTTGTGTCTTAGAGCCGTTGCCCGAGGCCTCACAGGCCGTTTCACCCTGGCTTGGACGCGGTCCAGTCAAGCCATGACAACGCGTGAAAGTGCTTGTCTGCAGCTTTATGCAGTTGCGATCTGCTGCACTTGTGTCCTGGTTCCGTGAAGCTTGTGCTGCTAATGCTGCAGTGTGCCAGAACAAAGACCCAGACCCCAAAGCGTCCAAGTTGCTTTGCAATAGAGCAGCCAGAACTTCCAAGTGAAGCAAACAAACCCATGCAAGATATCCAGCGAGCCTTGACCCAACCCTCAGTAAAAGCAAGCTGCTACTGCCCTTTTGAAAACCTGTTAACAACCCAGGCAGTCTTGTTGTAGTAAAGCTCCAAATGATGCGACGATTGAATGGTCAGTTTCCATCAGCGGCGCCACGACTGCCAACTGGGCGCAAGTCAACATTGGCAGTTTCCTGCCAGAGCAGACCGCCATCCAACAGCTACCACAACTACACTTCAAGGACGCCTGAGCCAGCTCGCTGCGTGCTGACTGCAGCTTGCTTCGCAGCTTATTGCCGCAGCCGGCGCCAAGCATCCACCTTGCGCCCTGCAACGCACGCAGTTGCTGCGGTTACGGAGCCTGTGCGGCTGGAAGAGGTGTCTGCCTCCGATGCTCCAGTGGTCGGCTTCTACGAGACCATTCGCTCTCCGACCGATGTGCCGCCGATGACTTTTTCCGCAGTAAAATCTTTGGGTACACCCAGCGGGCCTGAGATCGGCGAAGAAGTTTGGGTGCGCGCCCGCGTGGCGACAGTCCGTGTGAAGGGGAAGTCGACGTTTGTGGTTCTGAGGCAAAGCAGCCTTCACACAATTCAGGCCTGTAAGTTCAAGGACGCGGAGGATGGAGGCGAAAGTGCCACAGCTGTGGCAAAGTTCTTCAAGTCCCTGCCGCTGGACCCGAAGTGACCACACAATATGCAACAGCCGCAAGCAATTTCTGCGCTCTCGACCAAGCTTGCTGTGCCAGTGCAGGAAAGCCTTGTCGACCTGCGTGGAGTCATTGCTGAGGCCTTTAAACTTTGCATCAAGCCTCCTCCACGCAACGCTGTGTAATGAGCTGTTTCGCGGCAGGCCAATGTCTCGAGTTGCACTCAAAGCAATGTGGAGCTCCAGATCAAGCAGGTTTTCTGCGTCAGCCAAGCGGCGCCGCCCTGGCCTCATCATTGCCTTCACAGTGCTTTCGGGGAAGTGGATCTCTTACTATGAGTCAATGCAGGCAGCTACCCTTTCTGATCGCAGATGCACAGCGCAGTGAGGTTTTCCCCTTCTATCGTGGAATGTGTTGCTGTCCGGTTTGGTTCAGCTTCCTTGTCTTCTAGCAGGCGGAGATCGAGGCATCGCAGGGCAGCAAGCGGCCCTTCGTCGGAGCCTTGGCCGGGCTGTTCCATTTGTTGTGCTTGTCTTTCTACACTAGGGCATTTAAAGAGGAGAGTCGAACTGGCAAACACGTCGGAAATCTGGGGAAGCTCCCCGACAGAAAGGAGGATCAAGGGGGGACAGCGACACATCCCGGAGGGTGACAAACCCTCCACAAAATGTCGGAAACGACTGAGAGCAAAACGCGCCGTCGAACGCGACAACGAACATAGGAGCTTGTGGGGTGTTGCGGGGTGCAGGTGCGCGTGCTGCCGGACCTTCGCCTCGATCACCGTTGGCTGGACCTCCGCGCTGGAGCCTCGGAGGAAATCTTGGAACGGCTGGGCCCTCGGAGCTTTGGTGGGCCCTTGCTTTAGGTGCCAGCGCACAACGCCACTCTTCGCATTCAGGCGTGTGCTCGTGTGATCTCGTGTGATGTGTGGCGCTGCCAGTGCTTCGGATCGGTGCCAGTCTGCGATCTGTCGCCTCTTCCGCGATAGTCTGACGAAGCGCGGCTTCGTGGAGCCGCAGCCTCGGCACTATGCAAGCATGGGAGAGGGGTCAAAAACAAATGTCAAAAGGATCAACAAAAACTGAGCAAGGATCAAAAGAATCTAAAAATGTTAAAAAAACTTAGCATTTACGAGGTATTTTGTTGATTTGCTGGCTTGGTGGCCTCCGGCTTCTGGGCTTCTCAGCCTCCCTTCTTGGCTTCTGCGCTTCTGGTCCGCGGCTTCTTGGCTTCTAGGCTTCGGGGTAACGTGTGTAGCACTTCCGGGCCTTGTCGGCTTCCTGGCTTCTTGGCTTCTCGGTTCGTGGTTTCTTGGCTTCTCAGCTGCTTGGCTTCTGGGCTTCTGGGCTTCGTGATAACATGCGTACTATGATCGGAGCTTGTCGCAACTGTTAACGTCGAAGTCCTCCACGCTGTACCACGCTTTTGGAATCCGAGTTATTTGAGGATTTTTTTTCTGGATTTTTGTTTTTTAGCTTTTTGCTTTTGCTTTATGTTGCTTTCGTGTTTTTGCTTGTTGCTTTTTGTTTTCTGTTTTGGCTTTTCGCTCCGCTTTTTGCTGCTTTCT